TTTGTAACCATTTAAATCTTCAAGTTTGAATACAAAAAAATAATGAATAAAATTAAATATCCGCATTAAACTTTTTTAGAAACATTAAAAGAGCAGACTACCAGGAACTTGCTGAGCTAGCTTTCATGGTCTTGGAACCGACATTTAAGCCTCTCAACATACACAAGCCTGGGGCAGTACATCATGTTCGTTTTATGGCAAAGAGTATCTACTATCTAAAGATCATGCTTCTTTTTAATTCGACCAAGCAAATCCAAAAATTGAGCCAGGAGAAGATTAATGAGGTGGAAAAGATGGCAATTTTAATTTCAATTTTCTATGCTCCTCAACTTCTGAGAGCTAAAAAATCAGATACAGCTGCAATCCAATTTAGTTTTTTAGCCTTTGATACAAATAATCATAGTTAAATTTTAGCATTATTATTTGATAAAATAGTGTACCCGAATTGTATTGAAATTTTAACATTTTTAAGACCAGCATTTTGTCTGGCAGTTGGCCCACTTGGAGAAATTTGATGTAGCTGCAGCTTCAGTCTTCAAAAGGTGGGGAAAACACAGCTGGTACTTAGATCCCACTACTGTTTTTTTTTGCCCTAGCCAGTTCAGATTAGTCTGTGTCTGACATTGCAACATTGCAAAGGAAGAAATGGCTAGAAAGCTAATACAGTATCCTCGAACAAACAAGTATGATTTTGAAAGAAAGAACAATTCCGGTTTTATTCCACAAAAGACAGAGTTTCTCAAACTCACTGAGCCACCTTCACTCGTTAATTATGTAGGAGCTGAGTCATGGTTAGTGTTTGATATACTTGAATATACTGAAAAACATGTTAAGTGGTTTTTTTATCCTCCGTCTACATGGAATATAGATCCAGATTTCATTGCTTTTTTACTATTTGTTAAAAGCTTGGCAGTTGTTAATGATGCAGCAGAGAGAACCGTAAAAGCAATTCAGGAGGTTGTTTCACAGACATATGACGAGACGAAACTGCAGATAATATTAATAGTCAAGAATAAAATAAAAAAACCAATTTCACGCGCTAAAACAGCATATAAAGAGGCAGCTGAACAGCTAACACCTGCTGAGAAGCTAAGCCTTGCGTACGAATATAAATGTCTTGAGGAGACGGAGGACAAGTTATCACTATCTAGTACTAGTGATTTTGACAGTAGCTTAGATTTTGTTGATGAAGATGATGTGGTTGAGACTATAGAGGCTGAAAACGAGGCCTTCAATAATGCAGAAACCTAAATCTATATTTTAAGTTAATATTTTTTTTAACGTAATCATTTCTTTTTCTGAATTAAAAAAAAAAAGGGGGAGGGGGAAGAGGAAAAGGTACAGGAAAAAATTACCCATACATGCCCCTCCCTGTTTGGGTAGATAGACATCAATATGTTTTTTATATTTATTTTGCTAGCCATAAGGAGGCTGTGCAAAACTCTTTAGATCTATATAACTGCTGCAACACCTTACTACAAAATCTTGACTCATTGAGCTGCAGTTTTATGGCGGAGGTATTATTATCAAAAATAATAGTATTTTTATATTATATATAAATAAATATAAAATATTTTATTATATATATTTTTATCAAAAAAAAATTTTAGACGTTTTTATATTTATAAGTTTCAACTTAAGTTTGAAAAATAAAAAAAAATTGTCCCCCCTTCTCCCCCCGCCATACTCTCACGGTTTTTGAAATCAAGTCGTAGCAAGGTGATCTCATAAAGCTAGGGTGTCAATTTTTTTCAAGCATGCTCTAGACATAGTAAGCTAACAAATAAGTCGTATACATGTTTGTATGTATCTTAGATCTCGAGAAAATTTCAATCTTGTAAAAAGTTACAAATTTTGAAAAACTTTGGTTGGGTGTAGCAAGGGTAAATTTTATTTTTGAAAAATCAAAATATTATTTTAAAATCACTCACGAATACACATCTTTTTAGCTTGCATACATGATCCAAAAAAAAATTTGTAAAATTTGAACACCCCTAATATATATATATATTTATATATATATATATATATATATATATATATATATATATATATATATATATATATATATATATATATATATATATATATATACATATACAACCCTTGTATATGTATATATATATGTATGTATACAATATATATACCATATATATATACATATACAAGGGTTATATATATATATATATATTTCAGACAATCATTGCAGTTTTTAATCTTCTTGCTCTATGTCTGACTTGCAAACTGCTGTGACTGAATGATTTTATCTTGCATTAGATAAAGGCGGTCAATCTAATGCAAGATAAAATCATTCAGTCACAGCAGTTTGCAAGTCAGACATAGAGCAAGAAGATTAAAAACTGCAATGATTGTCTGAAATATATATATATATATATATATATATATATATATATATATATATATATATATATATATATATATATATATATATATATATATATATATATATATATATATATATATATATATATATATATATATATATATATATATATATATATATATATATATTTCAGACAATCATTGCAGTTTTTAATCTTCTTGCTCTATGTCTGACTTGCAAACTGCTGTGACTGAATGATTTTATCTTGCATTAGGTAAAGGCGGTCAGGCAAGGGCTGAAGCTCTTGATATATCTAAAGCTTTCAACAAAGTTGAGAATGATGGTCTTCTCCTTAAGTTTGCTTTATAAAGTATTTTGGAAAGTTTTTGAGATTATCAAATCATTTCTAACCACTTTATTAAAGTAATTATGGAAGACCATATTTTCTTCTTCATTCATTCTTCATTCTTCTTCATTTCCAATTACTTCTGGAGTACCTCAAAGTTCTATCTTTGGTCCTATTTTATTAGTTCTATATTTGGTCCTATTATTTTGTTTCTCATCTACATTATGATCTAACTGACAATCTTAAATCTAAACTGGCTTTATTTGCTGATGGCTCAACTTTATATCGTTTATCGTTTAATACCGACCTCTCATAGAAACCATGCATGCAATCATTGTTAGTATCTGCTAAGGTCGCTTCTCTTTATTGTGCTTGCTATTTTCTTACTCCAAATGCCATTCTCTACTTCTTTAAATCTCTTATTTTTCCCCGTATGGAAAACTGTTGTCATATTTGGTCTGGTTCTTCTAATGATATTTTTTCTCTTCTAGATAAGATCCTAAAATGCATGGTAAACATAGTTTGACCTGCTTTATCTCCAGAGCTTGAGCTTCTCTCCCATCCTCGAAAAGTTACATATCTTTCTCTTTTCTACAAATACTATCATGGTCACTGCTCAAAGAAGTTCTCATCCTTAGTTCCATCAACCAAAACTCTTTCTTGCTTTACTTGTCATTCAGCAAAGACTCATCCTTTTACTGTATCAGTCTCTGTATAATCTAAAAATTTTTATTTGTTTAAATAAAGGTTTTTTTCCTCCCACTTCAACTTTTTGGAACTCACTCCCGTCTTCATGTTTTCCTGACTCATACAACTAGAACTATTCAGGTCTTCTGATAACCATTTCCTTGCACTTTAACTCTTTTCTTTGTTTTCTAGTAACTCCCAGCTTAATATAATTGTATGTAATAATATTAATATAATTGAATGAAACATCATATTTCAATAATTTGTATGTGTATATATATATATATATATATATATATATATATATATATATATATATATATATATATATATATATATATATATTTATTTATTTATATATTTATATATCTATTCTGATTAGTATATTGTATATAGTAGTATTATTTATAAGTTTTCAAAGTGACATAAGTGATGTTATAAAGAAATCAAAAGTTATATTACCTTGGGTACCTAAATTGAGCTTAGACTGAAATAGATACTTAGGCAAAAATTTTGTAAAGTTGGTATTAAAATGTTCTTCTGTTTTGGTAATTTCTTATCATATCGTTATAAATAAACACTCCAAGTAGACACCAGGAAGTGTACCATCATGGTTGTACAAGTGTTGTGAGTTGGATTAGTGAAATAAGAAAAAGATTTTCACATGAATTTAATTACAAAAAAAAAGTTATTTTAACGAACTAGGTTGCATCTGGAGTAGTGGAACTTTGGGATGTTTCTGAAATCCTATGTTTGCAATACTTGAAATCAAAATATTTTACATCATTCTTTGTAACCTATCTGAGAATGCTACCAAACTGTGTTCATTTTCGATTACAAAATGAACAGTAATTTGTTGCCCCTATTAAGTGGGTCTTTAAAATTGTCTAAATAGCGCTGATATCTGACGCCTATTTCGACTCCTGTAATATTAACAATTTCAACCAAAAATATCAATTACTGATATCAATAAAAGTACTCTTGGATGCTTAATACAAGGAGATGGATTGGGAATAAAAGGAATGGGAATTTAAGGCAAGCTATAATCAATGGGAAGAGAAAGAGGGGCTTTAATAAAAGGGTGAGTAAAATTTTTTTACAGAACACAAATCAAGATTTATGACGTCAACTATTTTTAAAGCCTTTTTTCACCGAATTTATTTATTCTTATTGGTGACTGATAATATATATTTGCTAATTTTTAAAGGCAGTTCACAGTTTTTTTTTTGTTTGCTTGGTTAGAGTTTTTTTGTTGATAAGAAGTAAAAGTTAAAAAGCAGGGGAGCAGGTTTTAATAAGCTTGGGGTGGATGAGATAATTTTTCGATTTTAATTAATAAATGTTCCCTCCCTTGTATTAAGAACACAAGAGTATGCCCTTGAAATCTTTGAATACTCAAATAAATAATTCCATAAGTTTAAGAAACTGCAAAACATAAACCCTTAAAAAAATGAAGAATGTTTTGTAGATTTTTTTTTTCATCTTCAAGCAACATATTTGTTCCTAAATTATCAATACACTATTATTAAATGATTTTGTATTGGTTTTAGTTAACAGAATAAGTCAAATAGTTTAAATTAGCCTTTTTTTTTTCAAGCAAGAACCAAATTTTTTTTTACATAGAATGAATATGATGATATTATGACAGTGCTTTGGCTTTAAAATTGTTTATTGAAGATGACTCTTAGTTCTGCAATGATGAAATTCAATAACCCTTACCACAATGAATTTTCTGGAGAAACGTATGTAATTACCAATGTATGTATGTAATGTAAATATATGTAACTACTGAATTGAAGTTTAGGGTAATTATAGAATGGAACAATCATTTTTATATAAAACAAAATGTGTTAAGTATATATATATATATATATATATATATATATATATATATATATATATATATATATATATATATATATATATATATATATATATATATATATATAATATATATATATTATATATATATATATATAATATATATATATATATATATATATATATATATATATATATATATATATATATATATATATATATATATATATATACAATTGTTTTGTATATTTTATATTTTATGACTTATTCTTTAGATTTTTGAGACCTATTTATCTTTTAATAACTAATAAAATCATATGTTTATGTTTAAAGGCAACTTGTCAAAACAGTATACAACATAAGGAGTTAACAAGTTATTGGGAAATCTATTTCTAAAAAGTTAAATAGTACCTAGATATTCCATTTAAGTTAGACAAATAGTTGTGACAAATTGATGGGCAAAGGAAGCTGTAAAATCTCTGTATCAGTCATAAGTCAGGCGTCAACACTTTTTAGTTAGATATTTATTGCCATTCATAATTAAAGAGGTGAAATTATAACCTTTATTGTATCCAATGATGGCCCATAAGCAGTTGAGTATTTTAAATAAAAATTATGAAAAAAAATTCAAAATTATACCAGTTGTACACTAAACACCAAAAAGAAATAAAAATGAGGATTGTAAACACAAGTGCGGTGTTAGCAATTAAAATGAATTTGTTACTGAAATTAATGAGGCCAGATAAGAAATAGAAAAGCATGTACAGGATAATGGTCTGCTATAAAAACAAAGTTTTTAGATAAAACAGAGTTTGTGGAGTTTTTAAAAGTATAACTTTATTTCCTCCTAATGTTTGTTTCAATAATTTCATAGCTCCTTAAAAAAGTAAAGAAAAAATATTGTTTTCAAAAGAGCATATCTAATTTTAAATTCTAGAGAATTTATCTAATATTAAAGTCTAGAGAGCTAAAAAAAATACTATTTACATATCTAAATATTTATTTATCTATCATCAGGGGCTATTCTAGATTGTTTTTAACAGCGTCAACCATATTTGGGTGCTGAATTGGGCGCTACCCAAATAAAAATTTGAAAATTTTTTTTTTTTTTCATGGCAATTATTGTTTTTTTTTTACAAAAAAATGGTTACTTACTGCAAATTTCTTTATGGAAAGGCAGCAGTACAGGAGATACTGTTGCCCAAATTATTTTCCTAGAATTGCCACTGATCACATCTAACAGAAAATGTAGTAATATATCAAGTTTTTTAAGTTTTATGTCACCCTTCAAATAATTTTGCTGTTAAAAAATGCTGATTAAACCTTTGAAATTGTAAAAGTTAATGCAATTAGATAAAAAAACAGAAGAGTGTTACAAAATGATGCCTAGATTCCACAGCACAATCTAGCATCGATTTCTGACATAAAATTGATGGTAAATTTAAGTAAGGAAAAAAAATCTTTGTAAATTAGTGCAGAAGTTATAAATTGAAAGAAATAAAAGTGGCTTATCATTTTGAAAAGAACATTCAAGCAAAGGTAGAGATCAAGTCTGAAAAAAGTGTGGAAACTATGTGGAAAAACATAAAAGTTTTTTTGTTAAGTATGTTTTTGGTTTTTTTATTAAGTATTTTATTTAGTATGTAGAAGAACAAAGGGTTCTCATTAGCATATAGAAACATGTTGGTAAAATGCAGAAGTTAGTAAAGTTATAGAAGAAATAAGGAAATGTTATAACAAGTGTAAAAAAGCTCTTAACAATAAAGACAAGCTCCTGTACCTTATGGCTAAGAACAAAGCAAAATATATCAAATTCAATGCCTAATCTCATGAGCAGAAGGTAATGGACAAAATGTTAGGTCCAAAGGACAAAAAAGATACATTAAAGATATACAAAAAAGGTAGACTAAAAAAGTTTATTTTTAATAAATAAGGTTGGACCAGCAGAGCTGATAACCTGTAATGAAGTCAGCTAGTCTTTCTGGCAAATTGGCTGAGACAATCATGGCTTCAGAGGATATTGGTGTGTGCCAAATCAAAAAGGTAAAATCTTAATTAAGTGGAGGCGTACTAGAATGTGGTTCTTACTTGAGAATAAAATTGCTAGACCAGGAAATAAAAATTATAGACTAAGTTATTGACAAGTATTTTAATTAATAACGCTTAGTTTGGTTTTACATTAGGAAATGGAGCAACTATATTTATGATAAAGTTAATTCAAGTAAGATTATTGAAAAAGACAGGATTTAAAGTATTTAGGTGTTAAAGAATAGTTGAAAATAGTTATCATGGCTTTATATTAAAATCTTACAGTAATTAAAACAAAAAGTAGAGAATGAAAATTTTAAAGGTTGTTGTGTATCAGGGTTCAATGCTTTGTTATTTGCTTTGGAAGCTCTTTTTAAATAGGCCTATTTTGGTTTACTATAAAAACTATTCTTTGCAATTGATTTATCCTTGATTATAATGACCGAGGAAGAAATAATACTAATAGTTAATAATAATAGATTTCAGTTTTGGAAAGATGAAATGGAGGCAAAAAGGCTTAGGTTATGCTTAGTAAACTTATGAATGATCAAGCATCAGGTATGGTGTGTCAAGACAGATCATGCTCGGACATCTAAAGTTTAATGATCTATTTTTGGTGGTTCAAAAACAACATTTAAAAAAAATATCTACAGCATGCACTTTTATGTGTTAATATATGATAAACCTTTAACCAGCCTTGCATCCATTCTTCATTTATTAGCTGGCACAGACGTACTTTTAATACATTGTTTCCAGTTTAGGATGTTGAACACTGGGCCTTTTTGACTCAATGCATGGGTTTTGTTTGTGTCATTCTGTTATCTCCTAATGAAGGTACAGCTCTAAAACTCAGTTTTATGGTTCTGAGGCTGGATGGTAGTCAGGTTTCTCTGTGCGAACTCTGTGGTAGCTCTCATAGAGGCTGGTTCCATCAACAGCTGAAAAATATCAGAGTATTAACAGTGCGATGTTGCGCATTGATGGTGTTCCTGTTCATACTTTTGGTGTGCATTGTTGAGGTTACATTTGGAGCCCTTTGTTATGGCTTAGGGTTTATTAATAGTAATGATGCAATTGCTTGGACTATTAAATAATGTACTAAGTACTATCTATGCTTTGAGTCAAGTTCTTAAAAAAATTTAAAAATGAATAAAGTACCAAAATCTATAAAACACAAAAAACCATTGTCATCACCAAGTTCTCTAAACCTATCATTCACTAATATTCGTTGTCTTCGAAGTAACTTTTCTTCTGTTGAGTCTTATCTCTTGCAAAGTTCAACAGACCTACTTGCTCTTTGTGAGACTAATTTGAAATCAGTTATATCATCTTGTGATCTTATTGTTGGTGGTTATCTTCCTTTGATTTGTAAAGACTCCAATAGTCACATGCTTGGCCTGGGCATTTACATTCATAAGAATTCATACATTTGTTGCGAAACTAGGTTTGAATCCACATACTATTCTTTTGAGTGCTTTTGCTTAGCACCACTTCAGTCTATTGCCTTTTTCTTTGTTCTATATCGCAAAATCTGCTATTCCACCTCTCTTGTATGGTTCTGACTTCGTTACCTCACCTAAAGACAAAGCTGAATTGTTTGCTAATAATTTTCCATCAATATCTTCTCTTGATTCCATTATTTGGATTCTACCTAATATAGCTGTCAAACAGATTGATTCATTGCTTGACATTTTCATCACTCCAGCATCTGTATCAAAAGTGATTTCCTGATCAGACTCTTCTACAGCTTGTGGTCCAGACAACATACTTGTTGTTCTCTGGACCACAAGTCAATGGAGCTGTCATTCATACTTTCAAAACTATTTAACAAGCACTTATCAGATTCTTGTTTTCCAGCATGCTGGAAAACAAGAATCTGATAAGCGACATCTGTTATCCTAATTTTCAAAAGTTCTGGAGCGCGATCTGACTCGTCTAATTTCCATTCCATTAGTCTTCTTCCTATTATAAGCAAGGTTTTTGAATCTTTATTTAACAAACGCTTAATCTCTTATCTTCAATCTAATAATTTACTTTCTGATCTAATAATTTACTTTCCGATCATCTGTATTTATTTTGTCTTGTTCTACAGCTGATTTGCTAACAGTTATAACCGATAGGTTTTATTGTGCTTTAAATAGAGGTTAAGAGGTTAAGGCTATTGCTCTTGACATTTCTAAAGCTTTTGATAAAGTTTGACTTGCTGGTCTTCTCCATATGCTTTCTTCTTACGGTGTGTCTGGTAACTTCTTTAAGATTATTGAGTCCTTCCTTTCTCATTGTAGTATAAAAGCTGCCCTTGATGGACAGCACTCTTCCTCATATCCTGTAACTTCACAGGTTCCTCAAGGATCAATCCTTGGCCCTATACTCATTTTAATTTACATAACAATCATCCAGATACTCTCACATCTAAGTTGGCATTGTTCGCTATTGACACTACCATTTATTCTTGTCATGATAAGAAGCCAACACTCTATGATTACTTGGAGGGGGCATCTGAGCTTGAAAAGGATTTCACTTCTGCTGCAGCATGAGACTCACAGTGACTTGTGAACTTTAATTCAGATAAAACTCAATTTTTTTCAGCCAATCATTATCGCAATAATTTAGATCTTCCTAAATTTATGTACAATGATGTACTCGATGAGTCATCTACCCTTCATCTTCTAGGATTAACTCTTACTTCCGATATTTCTTGAAAACCGTATATCAAGTTCATTACAAAACTAGCATCTGCTAAGTTAGCATCTTTTTATCAAACTTGACACTTTTTTACTCCGGATTCTATTCTTTATCTCTATAAATCTCAAATCCATCTTTGTATGAAATTCTGTTGCCATATTTGGGGTGGATCTTCTAATGATGCCCTTTTTCTTTTAGGTAAGGTACA